AACTATGTAAATAACATGCAGGGACATTTTTCTTAATGGGGTTAGTGGGAAAATTTCTGGACATTTTCAAATACCACCTTGGAAAATTATAATTAACCTGAGAACTGATCAGATCCAGCACTCAATCTAATATTTTGTGAGGCATAGCTACCATTTTCCCTAAAACAGGGTCAATAATTTTTCAGATTTGTTCAGCCTCCTCCTCCATGGAATTCTGTAACAGATAGCATGGCAACAGCCCTCAATATGTCATAAAATAAGATCTTTGTTATATTGAATCAACATGAACATGTCACATGCCCTTCAAGAAGAAGGGTGAAGCTTTGTAAGAGGTGAGATGAGAATCCAGTCATGAAATCAAGTCAGAGTTCAATGTTCCTTTCCCAGCAGCTCCTAGAATCAGACTTCTGGCCCCTCGCACTAACACATCGTTCTTGTAAAGAACCTAGCGTATATTCCTAAGACACTGTTGGATTCCTTGTAGGTCACATCAAAGTGATCCCATTTTTATAGAAACATAGCCCTGAGCCCAAAAATCCATGGTCACATTACAGGTGGGGCCCGGACTCCTCCTTGGAGAAAAACAGCAGGAGAGGGGGCATCCGGCCTCTCTCAGTGGGACAAGACCTGGGCTCCCCTGGGAAAGAGTAAAAGGCAAACCGCGAGTCTCTAGTGCCCCCTCTGCCCTGTGACAGGCCAGGCTAACGGCGACATGCAGACAGCCAGCAGGGCAGAGACCCTCTTGCAAAGATGGGTCCCAGAGCAAAGAACAGAAGGGCCCTTTTCCTCCCCAGACCCCAAGCCTGTTCCGCAGAATCACAGTAGGAAGCAGACCTCAGATGCCTGTCAGCTTTAAGGTTTTCTAAGGAAGACCAACACTGGGGAGGCCGAAGAGAACAAATAGCCCAGGGACAAAGTTTGTGTGTGTGTGTGTGTGTGTGTGTCTGTGTGTGTGTCTGTGTGTGTGTCTGTGTGTGTGCGCTCAGTCGAGTCTCTGTGCGACCCCATGGACTGTAGCCCACTAGGTACCTCTGTCCATGAAATTTTCCCGGCAAGAATACTGGAGTGGGTTGCCATTTCCTGCCCGGACACAGTATGGGGTTGGTCAAAAAGTTCATTCGGACTTTTTCATAAGATGTAATGGAAAAAACCCAAATGAACTTTTTGACCAGATGGATACCTGCCCCAATATGATGAAAAGAAAAACCAAAATAAGACAAAAACAAAGGGCTTGGAAAATGCTCTCTTCGACCACCTCCACCAGCTGATTCAAGAGCCTTGGCTAGATTCTTGGGGAGCATATGAGGTGAATTTGTGTTGACATTTTACAGGCTAGACATCAACTGGACAATTCAAAACATTTTACTTATTGAGACCCTGATGGTTCCAGCTGGGAAAACAGCAGAACAGAGCCTGGGAACCTGAGAATTCATTACGGTGCTCTGGGTGTATCCCAACTGGCTGCATATTTCAGGCTTTAAGCAGAACTCTTGGTGGGGGTAAGCCTGGCCACCAGCATCAAACATGAAAGCAGAAGTTTAAGTATCCACGAGGAGTCTCAAGTGGCTTGCAGGTCATAAATTTCTAGGTTATGGGCTGGATTCAGTTTGGTTTCCTGCAACAGCTGGACTGTTATTGTCTTTAGCTAAATGAGTTATAGCCCAAATATGTTAGTTATTCATTTATCCACTTGCCTCATCGCCACCATTAAACAATCAAATCCAATGCAGCATTGTTCCAGGGCGAGGCCCCAACCAGAACTTCATGTCGATTTTGCAAATTGGTTTTTTCTCGTTCCTTTAACTTCTTGTGAAAAGCTGGAGTTTACATCCCTTTATAATAGAAATCAGAGTAACTTCCCCATCTCAAATTTCTGTGGATGGTGCCATCTCTATAAACGAAACCTGTTACAGATAAACACTTACATACATGCAGAGCTGTATTTGTTGTAGCGACTGCATCACGGGACAAAATATGTTTGGCTAAATAAAAAGAATATAGGGCTGTTTTGCATAAGATTGGAATGGAAATGATACCACAGGAAATTATTTTATGTCAACCACAAAAACAGGCAAAATATCTCTCTGGCCAGACTGAAGAGGAAAATTAATTATGACTGTGTTATTGTTCCCAGTGACATTATGTGTCTCTCTAAGAATCTGGCCAGAGGGCAGGGCCAACACTCTTTGCCAACACAGACATACAACGTATAGGAGGAAGACATAGCCTGGGCCTCCAGGGACTGGTCAGGCCCCTGTCTCATGCAGTCTTCTCTGAGATCCCTGGCCCAAGCCTGCCCATCTTCTGGAGGGCAATCCCTGGCCTGGCATCCTTTGTCTACTCCTCTCCTGTGGTCCGACTTCCCCCAGCGTGCTTTCCCTAGCTCTTCCCAATGGAGACTCTTGCACCGAGGTTGCCCACTGCCCATTGATGCATGGTTTCTTCCGTTTGGTTACTGGTTTAGTAAAGTAAATAAGAGGAGGGTAATAAAGGACAAGGGCTTCCTTGGTGGCTCAGACGGTAAAGAATCTGCCTGCAATGTGGAAGACCTGGGTTCGATCCCTGGGTTGGGAAGACTCCCTGGAGAAGGGAACGGCAACCCAATCCAGCATTCTGACCTGGAGAATTCCATGGACAGAGGAGCCTGGCAGGCTACAGTCAATGGGGTCACAAAGAGTCAGACACGACTGAGCGACTTTCACTTTCAATAAAGGACAAATACTGAAGATAATCTACTTAAGACCCCAAAAGCCTTTCATAAGTTTCATTTTTAAAAAAAGCTATTTAAGAAAAAGATTTCTGCTTATGCAAACAGCAGGAGAAAAATATGCAAATGACGTAGACAAGCCATACAAAGCAGAAGAGATGCAAACCACAAGAGGCTAGACCTTCCCTGTGTACAGAGAAAAATTAAGTTAAAACATAAAGAATGCTATTTCACACTCTTCAGAAAAAGGCACGTGCAGGCCTGGCCTGGAGCACGCAGTGAGGAGACAGTGAGGGTGAGCTTCTGGAGAAGAGCCTGCCCCCCAAGATGTGCACATCTGGGGACCCTGCGATTCCAGTCTTGGCCTCGGACCCCAGTGCCACCTCCGCCTTACTGTGCTCGGGTCCCCCGGGGATCCTGTTAAATGCAGGTTCTGAATCAGCTGCCTGGAGAGGTCCCTGTGAACATGTGTTTCTAACCAACCTCCAGGAGATGCTCACGTTGTCTGAGGAACAACTTTAAGTAGCAAGCCCCTAGTCAAGATTTTACATGGGAGCACCAGGAGGATGGCAAAGCAGCACCAGGAAACAGCGAAATGTTGGAAAACATAAAGACAGCCATGTTGGAGTCCACAAACGTATTCTTAAAGATGTAAAAAGTCCCCCTGAATGATAGGTTTCTATTTTAAAAATGGAGGGAGTGTGGCAGAGGCCACACAAAGTGGAGCGAGAGTCCTTATAGTGACACCAGTCACCTGGGGGCACGGGGAGGACCCCTCCGCACAGGCTCTCCAGAGGTCGGCTTGAGTCCAGCCCAGACACCTGGCATTTTTAAAGCTCTGCAGGAAGTTGTAATGTGCGCCCACGGTTGAGAACCACAGCTCAAGAAGGTACTCAAAGCGTGTACCAGCAGGATGGACCTCCTCTAGGAGCATGGCAAAAACCAGCCTTCTGTCTCACTCACTGAGAACCACAGCCCCCACCCCCCAAGTTCTGTAGTTTGCGAGTCTCTGCCTCTCCCTGCAAGCGGTGTTGAGTGGCACTTACTTTGCTGGGGAAAATGTCCACTAGAATCTAAAGGCAATGATATAAAAGGGGCAGGGTCTGAGAGCCTGTGGCAATTCAGTTTAGAGTTATTTACCCTGGAAACACGCATGACAACGGTTCAAACAGAACCAGGGCGTCCACAGTATGCATCCCAAAACGCAGCCACCTCCGGTGAGTGCAGGGTGGCACTGCATGGAGAGGCTCTGAGTTTGAGTTCTTACTGAGCTCTTGCCTCCTGAGGGGCACTCTCTTTTCACTCTGGGAGCCAAGACAAGGCGAGGCGACCAGGCATCCTTTTTACGAAACATCAGAAATCCCTGTCCCAGTCAGCACTCCTGGAGGCTGAGCTGGTGGAGACTCAAGCTGTCTCTTGAGTGACCGGCAGCAGGCCAAGGCTTTGGGGGTGAGCTCTCTTCTGAAACACAGGAGGGCCATGGCCATGTCAAAGGATTCAGAGAATCTGCTTCTCGAAGTGAGCTGTCCCTGTGAGACTCAGCCTGGTGCCCACAGAGGCGTCTCCACACCTGTCATTCAGCCAGTGGGAGCAGGTAAAAGGGAGCAGGAAATATCCTCTATTTGGTAGGAAATTTTTTAAAAAGCCTGATCAACCTAGGCTAAAATGAACGATTTTAACCATCCTTATAGACGGCAGCCCACCAGGCTCCTCTGTTCATGGGATTTTCCAGTACTCTTGCCTGGTGGGCTGCTGTCTATGGGGTCGCACAGAGTCGGACACGACTGAAGTGGCACAGCAGTAGCAGCAATGCCTGTAAAATCACTTGCCACCTCTGGGCTCGTCTTCAGCATGTTCATGGGCAGCAGTGAACCACTGGGGAATAGTCTCCAGCCCAGAAAGTGCCCCCCTGATGCTGGGAGAGGGGCAGAAATATGGCCTCAGCAAAGCACTCAGGGCAGTACTTGGCAACGGGCCCACTGTATCCATCCCTGCACACCAAAGTCATCCAAAGGCCTTTCAGACCTTCCCGGGGAAAACATGTGAACCAGGGGAGGCCTGACCAGACATGGCAACCACGGTGGACAGGCGGCTGCGGCACACCTCCTTCCTCAATGGCCAGTGCTGACGCTCCCGCACAAAACCCTTTCGTCGAAGACCACAGGCGGGCCTTCCGGGCACCAGGGACAATTCACGAAATCCCACCTCTGAGTCCCTGCCCTCCCGGGTCATAGAGCGCCAGGAGGCTGCTCCCAGGAGCCCGAGTCCCGCATCCTGACTCCGAGGCACTCACGAGACTTCCGGTTGGCGCGGGAGCGCTTCCTCTCCCGCGGCACCACTCGCTGGCTGGGCACTTGGGTGGCTGACTTGACGATACGGTCCATGATCTCATCAGCTGCATCGTCCGTGACGTTAGGCGAGTCATCCATGCCCATGGTCCAGGAACTAGTGGATCCTGAAGAATCAAACAACCAGAGGGCACGAGGTACTCAGAGAGAAGGAGAACACAGCACTGCTCCTGCGGCAGCGAAGCCCGTCAGCAATAGAGCCCAGTGGAGCCAGAGTCAGGGCGGAGCCTGGCGGACCAGGGAGCTGCCCTGTCCCCACTGCAGGGGCACCACAGTGACCCGGGACCATCACCCTCGGGGCTCTGGCCTCCCAGGAATCGATGCCAGCGGCACATTATGTTGGACTCCCCTGTCACACAGCTATGACCCCATCTCTCACTGTTCTGGACATGTCTCCACCTGCCAGGTCCTGTAGTCATGGGGGGGTGGGGGAGGGGGGCAGACTCCCGATGCTACACGGCGCCCTGCACATCACAGACACCCAGTGATGCGCTCCAGAAATATCCTGAGACATTTGCTACCTTTCAGCTGTCTATCTCTGGTTGTATGTGCCTAGTGTATGTCAACTAACCCTAACTGCTCATTCAGTTAAATAAAAGTCAATGGATTTTGTAACATATGGTTCATCTTTGGATTACCTAGCCTTTAAAAATCATAACAGGATTGCCCTCTTCCATTAGAAAAGGGGAGGGAACACACATTGTCTACTTTTAAAAAATTTATTTGGCTGCACCAGGCCATAGTTGCAACATGTGAGATTTAGTTTTCTGACCAAGGATCGAACCTGGGCTCCCTGCATTGGGAGTGCAGAGTCTTAACCAACTTCTTTAACTACCAAGGAAGTCCCCAAACAACATTTTCTTTGGTACATTCATCTGCTTCCTGACCAGAAAAAAATTTGTTTATAGCTATTTGTTAAGACAGTCCAAGTCTGACATGAAAGCACCTGCCTCTAGACCAGCAAGAAGAAAGTACCACAAAAACATGGGTTCTCAAATCATATTAAACACTTAGAAATGAATGCTATTTTGATTCATCAAAAATGAACTTTGTGACTGATCAACTTCTCTGTGAAATCTCTTCTCTAAGATGGGAAATATGCTTCTGTAAGAAAAAAGATGTACAATGTGCTCAAAATTGTGAATTTTCTCTGCCTACATTTCTATTCATAATAAACATATGAATTTAAGAGCCTGCAAGTGAGTGTTCTCAGACTCTGTGTTTGTGGAACACAGGTACCCTGAACTTGACCAAGGTCCAGCTAAAGCTGAAGAATAGTCAGCTTTTCTCAAACTACAGGGAAAATATGTTAGTAAACATTTATCTTAAATTTTGAGTTCTATACTTATTTTTCAAAACTTTGGTGTTTGGATATTAATGGAAATTGTAGGGAACAGTTGATCACAGCTCAACAGACTGTACATTTTATAGACTGCAAATATGCAATATACTATAATTTAGTCATAATTTATGCTAATAAAATTCAGATGACTAAATTAAATACACAAAAAATTCACACTTGGCAAACGAGAATCAGGATTCCCGTGTTTGACCACTTGCATGTATTCGAGAACTGAGGCCATAGGACAATGATGTTTTCTGCTAACAAGGCTTTTGTTGTGGTCATTTTAAAAAATTGCTTTGTTTTATGAGTAGGAGCATACTTACAGCATTGGGATATAGAAAATCAGGACACTTTAACTTTTCCTGCTTATACCTAATGGCAATTGATCTACTTGTTTCCATCGGAAGGTTAGTGTTTTCAGCATCATAAAACCCTCTAAAAATATGTTCTTCTCAGAAAGGAATTTTTGAAATTGCTGAATTTTTCTGCATTGTCAGGCTGGTCTAGGTGTTCTAATCGAAGGCAAGAGGCCTCACAGCAGCAGAGCTCTCAGACTCTGAACCACAGCCTTCTTCACAGCAAAGCCATCAACAGAACAACTGCATTTTACCCAGCAATTTCCTGTTTTCCCTTTTCTCTACTGATTTAAAATTCTGTGCCCCATTTTGAAATGCCAAGCTACCCTTCTCAAAACACACAAAGCTCAGGCAATTGTCTTCGCTCATAGTACAATATAACTGGCTCCTAAAAAGAGCCAGAAATGAAGGCATCATCTGATCTTTCCACTGAGAATTACCTATACGTCCATCTTACACATTCTTGGGGATCTGCTTGCACTGTGACATGTCAGAAGATGCCCACAAGGAGTATCTGGCCATCTGTCCAGGGCTGTCAGACTCAGTTTTGTGATGCTATCATCTTCTCATGACCTCAGTCTTGGTTCTGCTTCCTTATCCCCTCTCCCCTTGGCTACTTTCCTCACTGCCCAATTACCACTGAAGCCCATTCCATTCTTGGCTGTGTACATGCTTCCCTTTCTGGGACTTGTGCACATACATACAGCCACAGTAAAACACTGCCCATACCTTAGACTCCAACGGGGCTCCCCAGGGTTTCCCAGGTGCTAGCCAGACACTGATATATACTGAGATGTCTGTGTAACTTATTATATATAACATATGCAAATAGAGAGATGGTGGAGCAGATAAAACATTACAGACCATGATAGTACCATGTCATTTTATTTGGACTTCATTTTTTTAAAAATCGGCAAATTGTAGTTTGAAGGACAACACTGCAACTAATTTTTCCCTTAAAAATCTAACAAAGAAATAGTCTAAAATGAAAATAATTATATCCAAATAGATATTATATTACTGTAACAAACATCTACCTTCATTTCTAAAAGAGTTTCCCTGGGTATAGACTTCTAACAGGTTAGAAACTTCTTTTTTTCTTTGGCAGTTTTAAAGGTGCCATTCCACTTTCTTCTGACTTCCATAGTTTCGGTTAATAGTGAGTTATCATTCTTACTTTTGCTTCTCAGATAGTACCCTCTTTTCTCTCTGGCTGTTTTAAAGATGTTATCTGTATCTTTGGGTTTTGGCAGTTTGTCTGTGGTATGCCTAGGTAAGGTTTCCTTAGTATTTCTTCTCCTTGGGTTTGTTGTTTTTCCCTTTAAATATCTGTCTTTGCTTTCTGGCACGCTGACTTCTGCTGCACAGCATGGGCTCTAAAGCACGGGGCTCAGTAGTTGCGACACACGGGCTCCCCCGGTTGTGGTGCAAGGGCTCCGCTGCCCCGAGGCAGGTGGGATCTCAGTTTCTCGACCAGGTATCTAACCCACGTCCCCTGCATTGGAAGGCAGATCTTTAACAACTGGACCACCAGGGAAGCCCCTCCTTGGACCTGCCACTTCTCTAAACTATGTGGACTGCTATCTATCATGAGCCTTTGGAAAATTTTCACCCATTATTTTTTCAATTATTACTTCTTACCATTTTTTCTTTCTGATATTCCAGTTACACATATGTTAGACCATTTGACTGTGTCCCATCTATCTCTTATGGTAAAGATATTTTCCTGTTTTCCTGGCTCTTAATTTTGACTATGTACTGTGCTTTGAGTAGAAAGGAATGCAGGTCTGGAGTCAGTGTCATTTCCCCCTCGTCTTTGCCCTTTCTGTTAAGCAGACATAGTGAAGGACTGAGCAGTTCTTATTGTTGTGTTAGTTGCTCTGTCACGTCTGACTCTTCTGTGACCCCATGGACTGTAACCCACCAGGCTCCTTTTGTCCATAGCAATTTCCAGGCAAGAATACTAGAGTGGGTTGCCATTTTCTTCTCCAGGGGAATTTCCTGACCCAGGGATCAAACCCGTGTCTCTTGCATTAGCAGGTGGGTTCTTTACCACTGAGCCTCCTGGGAGGACTGAGCAGGATTGGGGCCAAATAGTAGTTTTCATTGAGAATCAGTCCATCTCTGTCTTTAACTATCTGTATGTATTTGTTGAAGGTGCTTACTCTAAATTGTCTTTGTGTCCTCAGATCTTCAAGACTGTAGGAAACTTGCTACAGCCTTTCTGACACAGCCTCCTCCTCCCCACCTCCTCATGCTGCCCCAGTACTTAGCGAATGTCCCATGAAGAAAACTGTCTGCATTTGAAGCTTCTCTAGCTCCATCCTTTCATGTCAGCTCACATGACTACTGCAAGTCCTGCTGGCTTCTCTTCACTATTAAAGTTACTCTGCTCCCAGCAAATCTAACTCTCAGCCTGGGCCCAGACTAGGTGAATGCTCTCAGAGAGGTGCCCTCAGCTCCCCTAGAATTCTAATTTGTCTAGTTTTCTCTCCTTTCACAGTTCTCTGATGTATTCTGAAGGAAAGTTTTTGTTATTTTATTAAAGTTTATGGTGTACAGTAGCAGGAGTAGTGACTTGCTACTCCCTGTGACATGCCACCTGAAAGCAGAAGTCTCCGCAAGTGCAGAGAGACTGAACCACTTTCCTTTCTAATCCTTTTTATCAGTTAGTGAAAATGAACCCACATTGCACAAAGCTAGCAATATCTTTTTCTTTTTGTCCTTTCCACTATGGAAGGGTTTTCTCTTTTAAAATTAGCACAACCCATTATGTTCCATTGCAAGGAGATCAAACCAGTCAATCCTAAAGGAAATCAACCCTGAATATTCATTGGAAGGACTGATGCTGAAGCTGAAGTTCCAGCTTTGGAACTTTGGCTACCTGATGCAAAGAGCTGACTCATTACAAAAGTCTCTGATCCTGGGAAAGACTGAAGGCAGAAGAAGGGACAACAGAAGACAAGATGGTTGGATGGCATCACTGACTCCATGGACATAAGTTTGAGCAAACTCCTGGAGATGGTGAAGGACAGGGAAGCCTGGTGTGCTTCAGTCCATGGGGTGGCTAAGAGTTGGACATGATTGAAGTGACTGAACAACAATTATGTTCCATTAGAAAGAGACCTGGGTTTGATCCCTGGGTTGGGAGATACTCTGGAGGAGGGCATGGCAACCCACTCCAGTATTCTTGTCTGGAGAATCCCCATGGACAGGGGAAACTGGTGGGCTACAGTCCACAGGGCCGCAAAGAGTCAGACATGACTAAGTGACTAAGCACACAGCACAGAGATATTGGACTCCACCTCCCAGGGTGGCTTTAATTGCACCAACTTGCGTCCATGAAGGCACAGCAGTTCGACTCATGATGGCTGGGGTCACTATGGTGCAGGTGCTCATGCTGCCTTTGATCTCCTGGTGGCCACGGTTAGCCTAGGAGACAAAGCCTACAGGAGCTGCTGGGGCACAGACAGACTCATGCATAGGATGCCCTAGGCCTTTTGGGAGCCAATGATTCCCAACCTCACACCCAACAGTGCAAAGCTGTTTTATTTTATTCTTATCCTTGCTTTATGCTTTGTCTAGACTGACAGTCTCTACTGCTCAGCATTTAATGATATTATTTTCTTCACCTTCTGATCTCCCCAACTTTTTTCTCTCCTCTTATGTTGTATCTTGTTTACACACTCTTTCTCTCCTGTCACTGCTTAATTGATCTGAGAAATGGAGGGCTTTTATAGCCAGCACTGGCCAAGAAGAGGGCACCTTCCTTTCCACGTGAAAAACCAGACAACCAGAATGTCCCACACCAAGTACTCAGGGCTGTGGTCTGTCACAGTCGCATCTATCTGCTTTTGCTCACCAAAAGGCTGCCTGTGCTTTGCCAAATAATAAGTTATTTTCTTTTCCTAATTCTACATCCAACACTACCTGAAAATCAGAGGGTTCAGAAAGACCAAATCGCAGAGAATCTAATCTCTGATCCTTGAATGTGAACAGTAACACCTGCATGTGTCTGGGGTAAAGTCTGGGATTAAGACTGTAGCACAAGGGCTGACTGCTCTATTTATCATCTGTGTCTCAGTCAGGATAACAATGGGGAAGGGTGGAGGCAGGCATCCCTTCTTCCGGCATATTCTTAGCCGCCTATCAAAGAAAAAACCCTGAGAAACATCCAGCATTAAGAAGGGGAGAAGGAACTAGATTCAGGGACACTGTCAGTTCAGTTCAGTCGCTCAGTTGTGTCCAGCTCTTTGCGACACCCCACGGACTAGCCCAAGAAAATCAGGTCTGTCACTGTTTCCACTTTTACACTCTAAAGCATTTCAATTTGGGCAATAAATACATGGCTTCTTCTGGTTTGTGTGCACAGTATGTGCTAAGCAAACACCAAAAGGAGAAAGTCGGTCCTCCAGGGGTTCATCCTCTTTAGTTATAAAGTTTGTAAGTTCCTGAGACCTAACCTGGGGTCTCAGGAGTTCATGGTGAGGTGGAGAGTGTGGAGGAGGTAGACTCTGGTGGTGACAGGACAGGCAGAGGAGAGAGGACAGCATGACCCATGATGGGGCCTCAGGGAGACAGAGGATGTGCAGAGTAGGGTGATGCACACCATGCAGGACAAAGTGAAAACCAAGTATGTGGGGGCCCGGAGGAGACCAGACCCCAGGGGACCTCAACATATCACATGAATAGCACGGGCTGGATCCTACGGGCTGGATCCTGCAGGCAGAGAGGAAACTTAGGAAGGTGAACGTGGAATCAGCCCAGACCAGGGAAACACGGGGAAGCACTCTCAGATGCAAAATGCATCTTAATTCTTAATTCAAATTAAAAATCCTTTCCACGTTATGAAACAAACTTGGAAACTCTTATCTGTCTTTACCATCTTGAAGCTTAGTTTCCTCTCTGCTCCAAGGATTTAAAAGGCAAAAAGGGATAGCATTTTAATTCAAGGGTCAGCAACCTTGTTCTGTACCCTGCCTGAGAGGAAAAACATTAGGTTCCATGGTCCCTGCAGTCTCTGTCGCAGCCCCTCGACTTTGCCCCGCAGTGCAAAAGCATCATAAACAGCACACATAAACACAAGGGTGACTATGTTCCACTAAGACCTGACTTACAAGAGTAAATGGCCAGCTCACTTTGGTTTGGAGGACATAGTTTGCTGATTTCTGGTTGATTTTTAAAAAAATATTTATCTTTATTTGGCTATGAACTCTTAGTTGTGACACGAGGGATCTGGTTCCCTGACCAGGGATTGAACCAGGCCCTTGCACTGGGAGTGCAGAGTCTTAGCCACCGGACCACCAGGGAAGTCCTGCTGATCTCGGCTTTAACCCACAGGGTTCATTCACAGTACTCATGCCTCCTATGAGAACTAAGCTGTGCTTTGGGGAAGGTTGCTTGTTTTCAAAATGAAGCTACGAAGGCAGGTCACAAAGGTGTGAGTGAATGATGACGTCAGCAGAGAGAGCCCCGGGGAGTGGACCGTCCACTTCCCAGACAGACACACAGTCACCTGTACCCTGTGGGGGGACCCCAGAAGACGGCGTTACCTCGGCTTGCGCGGCTGCGGGTGCGGACGCCCAGCGCCGGGGTGGCGTCCTCCACGGCGGGGGACGAGGTCTTCAGCACAGCCTTCATGTTCTCGTGCTCAGCAGCATCCTCTGCGTAGCTCAGGCCCTGTGGCTGGCTTGGGGGCGCCGGGGAACCGCCGGAGAACTTGCCAGACTGCAAGAGCAAGGGGGTTACGGCATGAGGTGACTCCCTAAAAACCAACTCAAGCTCAGCAAACCTCCAGCTGAGAAAAGCCTTCTCTGTCTCTCTCTTTTCTGGCTTACGTGCATTTGGCAGACACGTTAGTGACTTCAGTCAGTGAGGGCGTCAATGAACTGATGACAGACAGCTGCATGGGGGGGCAAGTTCTCTTATCAGAAAGAAAAGCCCTGGTCCTGGAAGGACCACACCCATCCCTCTACTGTAGTCTGTCTCCCGGCTCACTGCAGATTCCCTAGAATCTGGAAGCCGGCAAGGAACGATGGACTGCAACTCTGGGAAGAACTCAGAAACCAAATCTGTTTCTAACACCAAAGGCTGGATGTGAGTGTTGAAACATGCCTGTTAATCAGATACAGTGCGATTTATTTTTTCAAAAGTGGTGCCAGAAAACAGTCAAAGCGTTCGTATGGATCACTTATTATGGTAGAATTTTAAAAGTGGGATTCAGGTGCAGAACCTTGTCCCCCTCGCTTTACAGAGAAGGAAACTGAGGCCTTCCAGGATGGAGTGATTTGCCAAAGGCCCCAGAAAAGTTCGATTCAGGGCCCAGATCAGAATATGGCCCAGAAACCCATGCTGAAACTGAGTCTGGCAACACTCACTTCTCGTTGTGTCAAAAATTCAGTTGTTTTCACAAGCATTATACTCCCATGATAAGATTCTCTAATTCTAGGCTGAACAAAGCATATATGTTTTATAAGAGGTATGCTATAGTATTGGGCCATATGCACACAAAGCCAAACATCTGGATGAAAAATCAAAAGACAGTTAGAATAACACTTGAAAGAAAAGCTCCATCCATCCCCGGCTTCCTCTCTTTACCCACCGTCTCAGCCCTGGTGCTGGAGCCCAGGACACAGCTGTGGTTCGTACCATCTGTGTGACTCCTTCCTCATCCTCAGTCTTGGCATTCTTGCCCTGGCCTCTGGTTCTGGCATCCGCACCAGGGTCCGGGTAAGGAGCCACCACCCATCCCACCCCTTGTCCACCTGTGCAGCAGGAGGAAGAGATTCGCCGACCCTGCCACCCTTCACAGGGCCTGGGACTCCAGGACAGCTAGGAAAATGCAGTTTCCCTTCAGTCAGTCCCTGGGACACACACCAAGATGAGAACCCATGTAAGGAGGTTAGTGATCACACGGAAACCCAGCAGGAGACAGTCATGCGAGGTTTAATGCATTGAACAGGGCTGGCGCGTGATGCTGCTCACGTCAGGTTAGATTCTACGGAACACTCGGGAGGGTCACACGTGGCATTCTCCATGTTTATAAACATCCTACCTCAACTTCGTCTTCTTCATCAGTCTACTCGAGAGGACAGGACAGGATGGGAAAGACAGAAGGGATTCTCAGAAGGCAGAGAAGTCAGCAAAGATGAGATCATGGCAGTGCCACATCAAATTCCCGTAAAAGGACTCAGCCACCGCAGCCAGGGCACACCCTTCTTGATGTGAGCTGCTCTCCTGTCTGGACACTCTCTCTGAGAGCCCCAAGACCAGTCCTGACCAAGGTCAGGCCAATTTCCTGAGGCTGCCTTGGAGGACAATAACTGGTTCGCCTGGTCCCCTGACCATTAACGACCTCTGTGCCCGGTCACTGGGCTGGCCATGACCCAGGGAACCTACCACCGCCCGCCAGCCATCAGGACTTCCCTCCGCCTGTGTCCATCTGTCCACTGCGCCCCCTCCTCTCACTCCGAGTGCTGAGCCTCTCCTTGCCCAGGCTGCCAGGTCTGGGTCCCCCTGAACCCACCTACACACAGGCCACTCAGGACAAGGGGGACCACTGCCTGGACAGGACTGGTCCCCTGATTCTTTCCTCAGAAACATCAAATGATTTTTAAAATCTTACCTGTCCCTTGTGCAGGCTGTCTGAACAGACACACCATTCTTTTAATTATCACCAGCCAAACTGCTTTAAGTAACCAAATAAAATACTCCTTTTCCAAAAGTAAATTGAGGGTGAAAGTCATGTCAATTTCTTAATTCTAAATCAAACACACCCTCAATTTAACTTGTGTGTCCACTGAGGTTTCAAGCCAGGATGACAAATCAGACGCAGGTTTTTCAGAACTGACTAAACTTTCGGAAGCCAAAATGACAAAATGCTTCCAGTTCTACACTGCCTCCAGGCAATCAGCCTTGTGATGAGCGATGACTTTTTTTTTAAATCTTAGCGCTTCTTTAATTTAACTGGATAGTTGGCATGGTCCCAGTGATTAGCACACGTGCTTACCTCTAGCCCTCTCAACACCCCCCAGTCACTAGCATTTGCTTTTCACAGAAGAGGAAGCTGGGGTTGGGGAAGATTAAGGGTCTCACCCAGGAGGACCACAGCCCTCAGCAGGCCTGTAAGAGTCCTGGGATGGACAGCCTACATTCTCACTGCCCGTGTAGGGTGTGACGAAGGCAGAAAGGGCCACACTTGCCTTGTGCTGTCTTGTCTATGCACTGTATTGCCTGGAACTAGTTTAGGACACAAGGAAAAAGGTGTGAGTTAAGTTCTCACTGACCCTTACATGGCAGGACTCCTGGAGAGTAAGAAAGGAGGCCATCTGCACATTCAGAAATAGAGAAAGAAGAGGGGGGGAGAGGCACGTGAGAGTAGGTATGGAGCTGACTGTGAATGCAGGGTCTTCAGATTTTACCCAGACTTCTCTGTGCCTCATAAAATGATGGTTTTCCTAAAGTCCTCTCTGTCTAATTGCAACCACTTCCATCCTCATTATTCAGCATCTATATTAAAAATGACTTCCCACAGTTTTCTCTAAAAACCACTTCCAGCTCTAATGCTCAGGGGCTCTGCGACTCTCTATTGCCTGCTTTTGTTTTCAGTTGTGCATATGGGTCGTTTTCTACCCAGATCATGACACCCTTGGGGTACAAGTTTGTCTGCTACTGTACTCACATATTCCTAGGAGCCCTGTGCCTTGGTGGGTACACAATGGGTGCTTAACTGAGAACTGGAAAAACCTGAAGCTGTATACTTTGCTTTGAGTGACAATATCCTAATCTTCCAGCAGATGGCAATCTTTCTACATGAATGGTGTCACTCGTACCATCAAAAACAAGGGCCACCTTGAGGATGAACCCTGAAGAAACCTGCGCTGCCCAGATTTCAATGCAAATTTAAATATTTTTGAATCCAATTCTAGAAACATTTACCCCTGTTTATAAATAGGAGGACTGAATATTTTCAGAAAAGGACACAATTTAAAAATTAGTGGGATCTGTAAAAAAAAAAAAAAATCTCAAGAATTTGGCAAGAAATTCTGATGTGTTTTCATAACTATAAGCATATTGAGTTTGTATTTTTCACACTCCAGTGTGTCTCATTGCCACAAACGTAAGTACTTCCCTTTTTAAACTTTTAAAAATAATACTTTGGAATGAAACGTGGGCCACAGTTTGCCCAAGTGGGTTCTGTTTGCTTCCTGAGTCGCTGTCTTTCCAGGAAGCTGAAGATCCAATTGAACCTAGATTTCAGGAGAGGAGATAGCAGCCTCAGCTGATGGCACTGGTCTTCAGAACAATCTGTAGAAAGGGTCCTTTCTGCAGAAATGCGATCTGGGCACTCCCCAAGGTTTCAGCAAATTCCAAGGAAACAAGGATCAAGGGTAGGGTGAATGGTAAGGAGACTAGTCTCTGGTTCTCCTTCAAAATGCCTTACAATTGAAACACAATTTCTAAGATAATTCATCTGAGAAGGTCACACCCCTTGGGAATGTGGCTAACAATCATATTTGCTATTATATGTCTTACAAGATGGTCGATCACCGTGGGCACAGAAGGCAGCCTCAGTGAGGTTGTCTTAACTGATCTTATTTCTCCCCAGAGAAACCTGCCTGACTTGGGTTTAGCAGAGGCTTGCAACCCCCACGATGAGGTCACTCTCTGTATCTTAATCTTTCACCTATTCTGGTCCCTGGATCTAAGAGGCACTTTGCTTCTCAGAGCGATATAAAGAGGAGCAGAGCCTAGCAAGCTACAGTCCATGAGGTCGTGAAGAATTGGACAAGACTGCAGTGACTGAGCACAAATTTTATAAAGGCCCAGCAGAAAGAGGCACCATAACTATGTGTCTCTGTCTCTGGCATCTTCACACAGGGCTTTGCCCTCCAGGCGGCACTCACGGTGCGTGTGGGCTCAGTGCTGAGGTGGAAGAGATGGAGGACAAACTCAAGGGCTGGGGAGGCATGCAAGTGTGCAGGGCTCCCCAAGGGGCCATCAGAGACTCCTGCTAAATTCACTGGCCTCTGGGCTCTCCTCTCTTATTTTCTAACTCAAGAGACTGCCAAGAGCCCATAAGATTATGTCTTTGAGCAACCACATCAGTTATTTCTCCATTCAAATACCTAGAATGGGTGGTCCAGGTGTCAACTGATTGATTAGGTAATACTATCACAATTATTAAAATCCTGAATCAATTCCCAAATCAGAACCTTTGTCTTCCTATGGTAAGTGTCAACTTTTAGACTTTTTCTTCTCCTCTTTCAATTCCAGCCACTTCACAAGGGTTGAAGATGGAATCAAGTATTCAACGTCATTAGCATCACACAGCCCACCAAGCTAATTACTTGTGTAGTAGGTTAAAGTTCCTCCACCAGCCACCCCTCCTTAATTTACATCCTAGTTTGAAGTTCATTATATTTCAGGTTTTCACCGAAGTGGTAGAGGGACAGTTTAAGAGCACCTTTTAAAAGAGGAACATTTTTTTCATGGTCACAAGAAGAGAAAAGTGCAGCCTCTAAACTGTGGAGAGGTTCTATGGTTGATCAGACATTCAGAATAAATGACATAAAGAAACCAACTTCATGAAACTTACATCAGTGATCATCTTGCCCCGGGTCTTGTTTCTCTCTCTGTGGTTGGCCCGTTTCTGTTTCTGCTGCAAAACTCTCTCCCTGGTGGTACGGTACTCCAGTGCAAACTCACTGATGATCCTGCAGAACTTGTTTATGTTCACTTCCCGAATCGCATACGGTGGGTGGCCCATAAAGAGGAGAAAGGAATGGAACCTGCCGTGAAGAAACAATGGTGGCAAGGACTTCAGGTTTAAGACACAAAAATCAGCTGTCTGCAGACTTTCAGTTAAAAAAAAATAAATAAAACCCAATCACCCAAAGACATTGTTCTTTGTTCTTGGGGTTCTTTGAGGTTAAAGAGTGAAACAAAGGTCCATCTAGTCAAAGTTATGGTTTTTTCCAGTAGTCATGTTTGGATGTGAGAGTTGGACTAGAAAGAAAGCTGAGCGCCAAAGAATTGATGCTTTTGAACTGTGGTGTTGGAGAAGACTCTTGAGAGTCCCTTGGACTGCAAGGAGATCAAACCAGTCAATCCTCAAAGAAATCAGTCCTGAATATTCATTGGAAGGACTGATGCTGAAGCTGAAGCTCCAATACTTTGGCCACCTGATAAGAAGAGTCAACTCATTGGAAAAGACCCTGGTGCTAGGAAAGATTGAAGGCAGGAAGAGAAGGGGACGACAGAGGATGAGATGGTTGAATGGCATTACTGACTCAATGGACATGAGTTTGAGTAAACTCTGGGAGTTGGTGATGGACAGGGAGGCCTGGCGTGCTGCAGTCCATGGGATCACAAAGAGTCGGACATGACTGAGAGACTGAACTGAACTGAACTGAAAGAGTGAAAATGTAACCAGAAGTCAAGTTCAACTAACTTTCTCACTGACAGAGGTAGTGCGTTTTCAGGAGATTAAGTACTTTTTCCTACTTGCTTATCTGTGTTTTAATTTTTTTTAATTGGTGTGTAAAACTTTTATAAGAAAAATGATAAAGTACTATTCTAAGAAAGGGCTTCCCTGGTGGCTTAGCTAGTAAAGAATCCACCTGCAATGTGGGAGACCTAGGTTCAATCGCTGGGTTGGGAAGAGCCCCTGGAGAAGGGAAAGGCTACCCACTCCAGTATTCTGGCCTGGAGAATTCCATGGACTGTATAGTCCCTGGGGTCGCAAAGAGTCAGACACAACTGAGCAACTTTCACTTTCACTTTTAAGAAAAGTATTGCACGTTTTCTAGCTCATATGAAAACTGAGTAGGGGTAAAGAAATGCTGTTTAGCAATTTTAGGGGACTTAAATGAATAGTTGGAATTGACAGGAACATATTTTGAATAACATGCTAATTAATGATTTGTAAAAAGACGTTTATAAGCAAATAAAATTTATTTCAGCTATTTAGTGTATAAATTAAAGTTATTGGATTCTATTTACTTAAAACTTTTAGAAAAGAAAAATGAGCAAAGATGTGTCTAATTTTTAGTTATTCAGGAAATGAGAGAGAAGCTACTAGAAGACAAAGGAAAATTTTTGTGTACAACAAACAGTATATATAATTGATATCACTAATTGTAGAAAAAATATTTTTGATCACTCTAATTTGTACAGTTTAATAGGGGTTTGGTATGATTTTCAAATGAGGGACAGTAGATTATCCTATCTGTGAAGAATACTAAAGGAAAGCATACAACATAAAATTAGAAAGGGATAGAAAAATGCTATTTACAACCAAAAATGCTATTTAAAACCATAAAACTAAGAAGAAACAAAGTATAAAAATTCATGCCTTTGTATGAGAAAATGATTTCTTAGATATGATACCAAAGGCGTAGGCACCCAAAGGGAAAAAAAGATAGATAAACTGGACTCCATCAAAATTAGAAACTTCAAAGGATACTCTCAAGATTGAAAAGACAACCCAAAGAATGGATAAAATATTTGTGAATCATGTCTAATAGGGGTCTGTGCCCAGAATATATAGATAAATCTTACAACTCAACACTAAAAAGACAAATAAAAAATTAACAAAAGATCTGAGTAGACATTTCCAAAAAGATTATTGGCAACCAGTCAATAAGTACATGAAAAGATGCTTAACACCATTAGTCATAGGGGGATGCAAATCAAAACCACACTGAGACACCACTTCATACTCACTATGATGGCTATAATAAAAAAGACAGACAATCACAAGTGTTGGTGAGGATGCACAGAAACGGAAAACCTCACACAGTAGTGGTGGGAACACAAAACGGTTCAGGCGTGGTGGAAAGACAGAGTTCCGAGAGAGTTAAATACATAGTCACTCTGTGCCCGAGCAGTTTCATTCCTATGCGTGCATGCTAAGTCACCTCCTTGTGTCCAACTCTTTGTGACCCCCATGGACCGTAGCCCACCAGGCTCCTCTGTCCACAGGATTCTCCAGGCAAGGACACTGGAGTGGGTTGCCGTGCCCTCCTCCAGGGGATCTTCCTGACCCAGTGATCAAATCCACGTCTCTTGAGTCTCCTGCATTGGCAGGAGGGTTTTTTACCACTAGCGCCACCTGGGAAGCCCCTTCATTCCTACACATTTACTCAAAAGGAATGAAACTATGGGTCCACACAAAACCTACACAAATCCCATGACAGCACTATTCGTAACAGCCCCAAAGTGGAAACAATCCAAGTGTCCATCAACAGATGAATAAACCAGATGTGGTGTCTCACTCAAAGCCAGCCCCACGATCTCTCTGACCTCACTGTTTAGGACGCCAGTCACACTTGACGCCTCGTGATTCTTTGCACAAGCCCACCTCAGACCCCCCATGTGGTGTGTAGGGGACCCTCCGGGGACACAGCTGACAGTCTGCAGCGCCTGTGAGGAGGGGCAGGCGGCCACTCCACTGGGAGGGCATCCGGGGCCAGTTCTTCCCTAAGCTCAGAGCGCTCCTGCCACAGACAGCAGCCTGGATTGCCCTCTCTTATCCCTCAAGTTCCTGCCCGAATACCACCTCCTCAGAGAAGCCTCCCGCAACCACCCATGCAGAACAGGACCTCCTGGCCACTCCCTTATCCTTTATACTCTTTAATTTTTCTTCCTGGCTCTTATTACTACCTGACATTGTTCCCTGGAGATAGGACACGATGTTACATGCATTAGGATAGGATACTATAATATATGAATATATGTAAGATGATTCAAGGGAGAACCAATCAGACCACAGCTGAGTCCTCTCATACATCAATACAACGCAAGCTTCCTTATCCTCCACTTTTTAGAACATTGTTTTTATCTAGAGGGGATCCAATCTTAACATATAAATTGGAGATATGATTCAAATACACACTGCAAACAGAGAAGTAAGCACATCGCATGCTTGAAAAAAAGACTCAGATGTCCATTTGAGAGGAAAGAGACTGTGGCCTCCCTACAGAAGAGCAAAATGGGTGTATCTTTAAGGGAGTAAAACATTTGAGGGAATTTTTTTTAACTGGAGTATAATGCTTTTCAATGTTGTGTTAGCTTCTGCTGTGAACAGTGTGAATCAGTTCTATGTGCACATAATCCCCTCACCCTTGAGCCTCCTCCCACCCACCCCATCACAGTGGTTTGAGGGATTTTTGTTAATTAAGTTTGTAACTTTCAGAACACATGGCAAGAAAGTCTTAAGGTTACAGAGGCACTAGTTCCTCTCATCAGTGTCCCGAGGCACAAGCCAAACATCTCTGACCGTTTCCACCATCCACCCTTTCCCTCACGTGTGTCCATGAGTGGGGTGTCTGGCTGAGGATGGGGAGGGGTGGATTTGGGGGCACCGGGAAGCCAGTGTGGGTGTTCACTTGTTTTCCACCTGCCTTTCCCCAGAGAATGCTGTGGCTCTCCAGGCCTCCAGGGAAAGCCTTCCTCCCAGCTCTCCTTGGTCCCCTCTGCAGGGCCTGCTGTGGTGTAACTGCAGCCAGTGACTCTGGGACTTGGCCAGGGGTTTGCGCACCCACAGATTTGGGGCCATTGGAGTCACTAAGTGGGGGTGGGGGGGTGTCATCAGACAGGAAAGGGAGGTGGAAGCACCTGCCCCATTAGCTCCATGGGAGCTAGAAAAGAGGGGGAGGCCAAATGGGTGTCCAATAATGAGCCTCAGGGATCTGGGTCACACTAGAGCAAGCAACAGCTGGGCAACCAGCTTACAAGGAAGAATAGGCAATCAGAGCAAATGTTATATGCATTATATACATTTTGCACATGCAATTTATATATATTCACACATGTATATATATATACATACACACACACACAGACACACACACACATAAACACACACAGACATACACAATAGCTTAGGGAACAGATGTATCAGCAAAACAGAGTTTTACACTTTCCGGGATAAGATGGTTACTGTGACCAGGCATAATAGCTTTACAAGACTTTCATAAAACTGCTCCAGTTTCCTGACATTCCAAATGGAAACTATTTGTTTATTTGAGTCATTTTAAGTTGGAAATTGCTTGTATCACACAAAGCATGGAGGGCCAAAGCCGCTTACATTCTCTGCCTCCCCTCTTTAACCATGTTAAAAGCAGAGTGTACTTTGCTTTCAGTAAGAAATCTGACAAAACCTCTGATAAGACCCTCCTACCCGGAGGGCAGCTGTGAGGTCCAGATGAAGTACAGGGAGAGAGACTTACAGCTGAACAACTAAATTCCAGAAGTACTGAGTAACGGATAGTTGTCAACCTGGAGGGAAGATTCTGTCCCCTGTTCTTGTCCAGTCTAACACTTGAGACTACCCCTGCCCACCAAAAAGGCCTGGATCAAGGCCCAGGAGGTTTGATTACCCAAACAGCACATGATACACATTGGGAGAGGGCTCACAGGCAGACAGGAAAAGGAGGTTTTTAAACATTCAGTGTGGGTGCCTATGAAGGAGGGAAAGAAGGAAAGACGGAGAAGGGAGGGAAGGAAAAGAGAAAAGATTTTTTAAAATGTGAAATGTACAAGGGTAGGTGAACATGCCACATATTTGTGGGAGACAGTAATAAAGTACTCAAGCACAGGAGTGGGAGTGAACTTGAAGTGCACGTCTCTGGGGAAGGCCTGCAGTTTAGACGCCCCAAGGGAGGCCTGCCTTCACAGAGCTGCAGTGAGGCCTGTTTCAATAGGTCTATTGGCAGAGCACCTGCTCCAGGGAAACCACGGCCTGCAGGCCTGCACATCTGGTCACCACAGGGCGAGGCCCAGGACAGAGCACTCAGACTCCAGAGGCCAGCATGAGGGACCTCCAGCCACGTTCTGCGACGAGACAAAGGAGAACAAAGTGGGGGGTGCCTGGTAGGCACCTGGGGAAATGGCCTGACCTGGGGAGCTGGGACACCCTGTCCCGATGCTGCTGCCACTTACAGGGAAGATGGCTCTGGACCACTGTGGAGCCGCCCTAGATCCTCGTCAGCTTCCCTGTAGGAAGCAAGGCCTGCCATGTCACTGCTGTGAATCCCCGGGGCCTCGTGGACCCTGGGATTCTGAGGAAGGCTGGTGCAGAGGACGACACCCATTGTGGGGTGTGGGCCGCCTCCAGGCAGGCTCAATACAGAGCAGCCATCTGAGAATCCAGGAGTGAAAGGTCTCGGAAGGCGACTGTGGACGACATGAAGAAGGGACTTTCCTAATAAATCAAGCTGCCTTGCAAGGCTGTGTACTCTCTATAGGCAGAATTGCTCAACTAGGTGCAGAGATGCAGGGGCCAACTTGCCAGAGATCTTACAGATCCAATTCCTGATGGAGTAGGACTTTTGGATGATATTATCTCTGAGATTTCTTCCAAGATTCAACGGCATTACTGCCATGTGTGTGTTTAAGAAAAATTAAGTGGACTATCCATCAAAGGTACAATGCTATGAACCAAGAATATTCAGTATAATGTTTGTATATGTACATCTTGTTTTGCAGAATATTTTCAACATGCCATTTTACTGATATTTGCATGAACTCCTCAATTCACTCACCTGTTAATTATTCTTCTGTGGACAATTTTTAAAATTATAATTCGCTCTGCACAGTCTTTTAGGAACTCTGACATTCGTTGTTTTAAAACTGGTTTCATTTCATGTTTTGCAATTGCCTTGAGGTGATCCCATGAAGCTTTGCATCGTCTCTCCATCTGACATAAATTATCCTGAAGTTGATCAAAGTCAACCTGAAAATCAGAGAGAGAACATTACAAATGTGCTGAAATAACCGGACATCCACCTGACCCAGGAAACCGAACTGCCTCCGGGAAGAAACAAACATCAGAACCCAATTTACATCTTGAAATACAAACACATTTATGGCCTAAAAATTGTCCACATGTGTATTTGTCATTATCTCTACATCACATTATTTAGTGATAAAACTTCTCCAAATGAACTCAACACAAGTGTCTTTTTTTTTTTTGCCATATTTGGAAAGAAATCTTAATAAAGTCTTTGGGAACTGTAAATTAAAACATGATATCAATGAACCCTAGTACAAGATGAACTGAGCAGATGTCTCATAAAATTTTTCAGAGCTCTCTTATTCTTTAGATATTTCACTTGAGGTTGGAGGAATTCACCAAACTCAGACATGGATGGTCTTAATATGTTGGGGCCAGTTAAGGGGCAGCCAGCTTCTCTTCACCGTGATCATTTTTACACTGTGTGACAAATTATTTATCCATTCATTCCCTCATTCAAACAACACTCAGGGAGAAGCTAGTGCATGCCAGTGGCCACCCCCACACCCCCCCACCCCAAGGTAGGAGGAAGACAAGGATCAATGTAGAAAGAGACCAGGTTACTGTTCCCCGGGAGGCTCATTGTACAAACAGGTGACCACGGAACTCTGAGGATGTACACGACCCACCAGGCCTCGGTGTCTGGGTGAGAGTCAGAGTGTGTGGTCCACCCCCATCTGTTAGCAGATGCAAACCATGTGTGCAAAGAACAGATGTGATAGAGCATTCACTTTGCTCTTCGGGAAAGTGGGACCAGTTTGTATTGACTGAAGTGAACTGAGATGAGGCTTTCTAAAGGAATGTTTTGATGGAATTTCTAGTCTAAAAATTATGGGAACCAGAGAGTTATCCATGAAGTAAATACACTGAAGGATATTTAATGGAGGGAGAGGTGAGAGAGAGGAAAGACATTGAGAAGACTAGGAGGGGGGAGGAAGAACTAGACAGGCCAGTGAGCTGAAGGGAGGTGACAGACGTGGATGGAGACTGAGAGATGGAGGGAAAGAGTGAGGGACCAGCAAATGAGGGTCAGGAGGAGAAAGAGAAACTGTGGCGAGGTGAGCTGCCATTGCTCAGATGCTGTGACTGTGCTCACGAGAGCAGGGCCTGGAGGCGAGTGCCCAAAAGGACTGGCTGGAGTGACCTCAGACCTCCAGCCCCACCCTGAGATAGATAATGGAGGAGGCCAAGTCAAGAAAGGCTGATCCTGTGAGAAGATGTGTCACGAGACAGGATATAGATGGGCTGAGCAAAGGGGATGTCCAGGGGATCAGGCAAGACACCACACGTCATGAATTTCTTGGGTGCTACAGGTGCCAAAAACAGAAAACAAGTTTAGGCAGAGGCTGGGGACTCAGGTAAGCACTCGGGGGTGTCGGGCATTGAGAAAAATCATTTGCCTGAAAACAAAGACATTTGGGATCCAGATTAGAGAAGGCGACATTTTCCTATGATACAGTGGAACTGAAAAAAAAAAAATCTGATATGTTACTGAAAGAAAAAGTAATGCAGCCTTAGAAAAGAAGGACTGACTAGTTCAAAGAGTAAGTCTAGAAAGGGATCCAGATGACCTGGGATCAACACATACTATCAAAGAAGTCTAGGAGTTTTGAAGCCAGTTGTAACCTGTCTAATCATTTGCACCTGGCGGCGACTTTGAGCCACAATATTTTTAATAACTTTAATAAATTTAATAACTTCCATTCAGCTCAGAATGTACTGAGTCCTTGGTCTAACAGGTGATGCCTGTCTAGCACTGCAGTGGGCACAGAGTGGGTGAACGGACACCACGACGTGAGAGAGAGTTTTCAAGGAAGAGACTCCAGTGTGAGCCTTTAAAGGCAGGGAAAGCAACCTCACTGCCAGTGGAAAGCAGGTGGGGAGCCCCTGACCAAAAGGTGTTTGAAGAGGGGGATTAATGCAGCATCTTTTGAGGAAGAGCTGCAAGGCTGCCTCAGCTGGCTGCTGGCTGCGCTGATGGCACCACCGTGATCTGAGTCTTCACACTACTTCATGGCCTCAGATCTATCACTGGCCCCACTTCCTGGGGGAGAAACTCTTGCACAGAAACGTTAAGGAACTTGCGGAAGGCCACACAGCTGGGAGGTGGTGGAGCTGGGATTTGAACCCAAATATCTCTGGCTCCAGAGTCTAAGTTCGTAACCATCAGGTTTTAAAAGACTAGGTTTGTCCCTAAAATATTCCGCCCTGGGGAGAGAGTTGGCCTGGCCTTCTGTTGCAAGCAGGGTCACCACCAGGAAGCCCTCTCCTGACAAGAGCCCCACATGGGTCACTTTCTGCGTGTAAGAGGACAGAGAGCTGTGCTGTGAGGCAGTCAGATCTTATCATGTGAGTCTGGGCTGGAGCAGGGCAACTCAGGGACAAGAGCCGGGGCTGCAGAAGGGATGGCATGGGGAAAACACACAGTGCGCCAAATTCTAAGACACTCACGCCTTCAAAATGTAAAGCCAACAATCCTTCCCTTTGAATGTGAGCCAGCTGTAGTGACTTGGTCCTAATGAAGAGAAGGTAAAAGCTAGGTCATCAAAAGGGATGAACATCTGCATGGAGCTCTATGTGCCCTATCCCAGATCACATACTTTGGGAAAGACCATCTGCTATGTCATGAGGACACTCAAGGATGGGGGAGGCCCACGTAGGAGGGAACTGAGTCTCTTCTCTAAGAACCAGCAGGAGAGTGAACCACCATGGGGAGAACTTCTCCGGCCTCAGTTGAGCTTTCAGATGATGGCAGCCTCAGTTGAAATGTTGACTGAAACTCCAGAAGAGAATCTGAGACAGAGCTATTCATGAAATGTTTCTTCCTGTCTATTATGGGTTGAAATGTGTCACAGCAAGATTCATATGTTGAAGTCCCAAGCCCCAGTATATCAGAATGTGACTTGATTAGGAAATAGAGTCATTACAGATGTAATTAACTGAATTAGGATGAGGTCACACTGGAGTAGGGTGGACTCCTAGTCCAATATGACTGGTATCCTTACAAGAAGTGGAAATCTGGATGCAGATACACAAGGAGAACATCATGTGAAGGTGAAGGAAGAGGCTGGGGTGATTTCCAGCAAACCATCAGAAGACAGGAGGGAGATATGGCACAAATTTCTCTTTCAAGAGGAACTTAACCCTGCCAACAACTTGATCTCAGATTTCTGGCCTCCAGAACGGTGGAACAAATTATTTCTGTTTTTCTAAGTCACCTAGTTTGTGATGCTTTGTCACAACAACCCTAAGAAACTAATACATTATCCTAAGCCATTAGCTTTTGGGGTTATTTGTTACACAGCTGTAGATAACTAATACAAGGGAGAGCCTGCACGGTCACCTGCCTTCACTTCTGGAGCTGTGGGGTCAGGTCAGTGACCTCCTCAGCCTCTCTAGGAGCAGCCAGAGCTCTGCCCACCTCCACTCACTTCCCCCCAACTCCTGGTGGGACCGAGTTTTCCTCTAGACACTAGAGTTACCTGCTCCTTGGGGGGTTGCAATGATGACCCCCAAAGTAACACATCAGGGGATGGAATGAATGTGGCTGGGGAATCCCTGATGTAGGTTGTGCACCTGTCTACACAGAAGGTGCCTCTCAATGTCTCCCAACGTCGAGAGTAAAAGCTAAGAAGTGGTGGTAGGGGCCCTCTTGGCCTCCTGTTTGAAGTCACATGACTATTGACTTGGGTCAATAGTCATCCTTCATAACTGCCAAGGTTAACAGGGAGAAGCAACCCACAGTCTGGCTTGTGTAGTCAGGTTTTAAACAAGGAAAGGCCTGAAACGGGGGGGACAAGCCTGGTTCACGGGCCCTAAGCCAGGGCAACTCAGCACAAGCAGAGTTCACCCAGTAGAAGGCCCTGGAAAGAACAAAGGACTAGATGTAAAAAGATGACTTAGTCTTGAAATGGGGATCCAGAGGCCAGGAAGACTTCATCTCAAGAATTACTCCTAACAAACTGTCTTCTGAGAAGGTGTTCATGGGGGGATGTCAGAGCAGCAACTAGAAGACTCCTGTTGGGACACTCAGAGGGGCTTTTTGCCTTAGTTAGAATAGTAAAGTAATATTTCTAAAGACTTCATAACAGGGCTTGGCACAGAGTAAATATGGTAAGAGTGCCTATGAAATAGAAAAGTCTGTCTACTCTCAGAGTTGCAGGACTGCTGGTCAAGCCTGTTTCTGCTTCAAGGCAGGACCACCCATCACGCTGGCTCAGGGTCCCCTGCTCACTGCATCTAGTGGCTGCCAGCTAGAGGAAGGTGAAGGAGGGTCCCAGGCAGCAGGTCCCCAAGACCCAGCTCTGTTGGGGAAGACAGAGAGAGGAGAGCTCCCTGAAGGGGAACTGAGCAAAGCCTTTCCCCCTTTCTGCCCACCACAGTCTCTCCTACGATCATGTGTGCATGCTGTCACTTCAGTCATGTCCGACTCTTTGTGACCCTATGGACTGTGGCCCACCAGGCTCCTCTGTCCATGGGACTCTCCAAGCAAGAACACTGGAGTGGGTTGCCATTTCCTTCTCCAGGAGATCCTCTTGATGCTGGGATTGAACTCACACACATGTCTAGTGTCTCCTATATTGCAGGCAGATTCTTCACCCACTGAACCACCTGGGAAGCCCTCCTACAACCATACTAGACTCCAGTGAGTCCCAGAGCTAAACGCAGTTCGGCCAGGTTGTATTTCTGGGAGTTTTCCCACATGGGCCTAGCTCCCATGTCCTACTGGCGGCCCTCCCCGTAAGTTCCCTGTTGCTTCCAAGACCCTCACATCTCCCGGTTCTGCTGTGTTGGGATCCCTCTGTGGTTATTTGGCTGCAATGATGCTCCTGCAGCGGGGCCAGCTGGCTGTCCAGCTCTCACGACTAAACCAAAGTTCATGAAGATTTTAACCTGGTAGGCTGCAGTCCATGGGGTCACTAAGAGCCGGATACGACTGAGCGACTTCACTTTCACTTTTCACTTTCATGCAGTGGAGAAGGAAATGGCAACCCACTCTAGTGTTCTTGCCTGGAAAATCCCAGGGACAGGGGAGCCTGGTGGGCTGCCGTCTAGGGGGTCGCACAGAGTCGGACACGACTGAGCGACTTCACTTCCAATTTTCACTTTCATGCATTGGAGAAGGAAATGGCAACCCACTCTAGTGTTCTTGCCTGGAGAATCCCAGGGACAGGGCAGCCTGGTGGGCTGCCATCTAGGGGGTCGCACAGAGTCAGACACGACTGAAGCGACTTAGCAGCAGCAGCAGCAAGCTTCAGAGACTGCAGCTAAGGGGGGCCAATGCTATACACTGTTTACAGCCCCATAAAACTTCCCTCGGTGTAAGATCACAGGCATGGCCAATCTGTGAGGGGGCAGGGGGCCAGGCATACCCTTAGTTTCCTGGCTCCACACCTCACTGCAGGGCCCTATGGAAGTTTCAGGGGGAGCCAGATTGCATCTTTTCGACATTTTTTGTCACCTAAAACCAGCCGGGTGGTTTCTCTGCTCTGGAGAAGCCAGCCTGGTGAGCATGGCGGCTGACCAGGCGATGTGGGGCTAGGACTGACTGGGGACGGCAGGCTTGCCTCACATACCTCAGCAGGAAAGAATCTGACAGAGAACCAGAGATGGGAAAATGATCTCAAAAGTGAATCAGAAACGGCAGGAGACGAGTTTTATTCACAAACTAGAGCAGGGGGTGCAAGCAGGGGCGTCTCACGTCACAGAGCCGCGCTCTGCAGAGGTGGCGGGTGCAAACCCCCAGCTCTGGGGCAGAGGGGCCCCGCCCGCTCCTCCGTGCCCCGCACATACCTTGGCTGACCTGGTGACGGCCCCAATCTCCGAGTACAGATCTGAGCTGTCTGGGAAGTTTTCCACCACCATGGTGCACACGTGATGGAGAAGCGACTGCTTGTGCACTGTGTCTTTGACTTCCGGAACCTTCTCGAGGTAGCTTAACTCAAACGCTTTGGCCTATTTGGGGAACATAACATAAAAGAATGGAAAAACAAGGTTTTTTTTTCTGTTTTTAGTTGGAGGATAATTGCTTTACAATGTTGTTTTGGTTTCTGCCATACAACTCCCCATCCCACCCCTCTAGGTCGTCACAGAGCAACCAACTTGAGCTCCCTGTGTTATACAGCCACTTCCCACTAGTTATCCATTTTACATATGGCAATGTATATGTTTAAAAGCTACTCTCTCTATTTGTCCCACCCCCTTCTTCCCTTGCTGTTCTCTATATTTGCCCTCATCAAAAAAATCTACAGACAATAAGTGCTGGAGAGGATGTGGAGAACAAGTGTTATGCAGGCTCATAGAAAGGTACAAATGGTTAGAATTAACACCCTCTTGGAGGAGCCCAATATTTAGTTCCTTTGGGACTGAAGCATCTCAGGCCACATGATCCAGCATCCTTAGCGGACCACACAAGCCCCAGCCACCCTGATAGAGAAATGAGCCTCCAGCCCTTCCTGATCATGGCTGTCAGCCATGGGCTAGGGCTCTGCTCCTAAATCAGGGTGCTGGGCGTGGGGTTTCTGCCATGTAGGCAGCCACAACTTCCTAATCCCTTCCCTGCTGGGGATTTTCTACTTTCTGGCTAAAGATAGGCTGGTTTTTTGTTTAAGTGTGTTTATAATGTGTATGAGCACAAATATTTAAGTGATAAACTCAGGGAGAAAAAGAAAAAGAAAAAAACCGTAGAAGAAAACATTTCCAAAGTCAACTGTGAGAGGAGCCAAGCTTCCTAAGGAATAATGTGCTTATTTTTTTACATTTTCTTATTTATAGCAAGATACAGGCTTGAATAAATAGGCCCTGATATTTTAAGGACAAAACCTCTAAATTTTCACCAAAAAAACACCACCAGTGAAAACTGTTCAACCGAGCCTCGGAAGATCAGTGATCCACCAGCAAGGGAAGGGCGGGGATTCTGTGACCAGGGAGGTAGGAGGAAAAGGATGGGGAGACTTACATTAGTTCCATTTAGAAAGTTCCCAATGGCTAAGAGAGTAGACAGGATAAAGCCCAAGGTTTTATTGTTCTCCAACTGGTCTATTCCTTCCTTCAGGTCCAAAAGTGGTTCTGCCACTTCCTTTCAATTAAAAAAACATTAGAAGGTGATAGAGTGTACACTTTGGCTTCACTTTGTTCTTTCACATTTTTGCACAAGGTCATAACCAGTGGAGTCCTCCTAGTATAAGGCAGTCCCGTGTGACTGGCACAAGCTTTCAGGTATGGAAAAGAGCAGAAAGGTGACAGGAGAAAGTCTGGCCCCAGAGTCACTACAGTGGAGACTAGGTGGGTCCCTGTGGCTCACAGGAGCTTGGCTAGGTGTCTTCCCCTTTATCTGCCCATCTCCCAAGTTCTCTCCTGACTATGGCTGATGCCTACAGAACTTATCCTTCACATGTTCCTTCAGCATCTGAACCACAGTCTTTCTCTTTGTCTCCCAGGCAGGTGACGCTGGAAACTGGCATCACTGTCCCAGGGCCCAGGTCTCCTAACATCCCCTCTAGGCACCCTGTGGCTGGCCACCTCTTGGCCTGGGTTACTTTCTAGAAGACCACCATCCTCATGACTCCCACCACCTTCCTAACTCCCACTCTCTCAGACATGTAGCCTGTCCTATAACCTCATGGCCTCAGTCTCCCCTTCCCTCTGTCCCACTGTTTCATAACAGCCCCCCACCTCAGTGTCCTCACTGAGGCTCTCCCCGAGCATGGACCCCAAAGCCAGCAGCTTGGGCTTCATTCATTGCAGCCTTACTTCTGCTCAGCAGGCCCTACCAGTCCCCAGCCAAGACTGAGTCGATGACCTGTTTTCTCCATGAAGTTACCTCACTTTGCTACAGAAAATCACCCAAACATGCTGACTGGTTTTGCAACCAAGTTACCTTAGTCCCCCTAGACTTCTTCATTCCTGTCCAATTCTGGAATGAAGTCAAACACAGCAGTTTCTCCTGAAACACCCTAAGCCCACTGCTACCTGTGTGGCCCTCAGTAAGGAACATGCTCTGTCCTTTACAGAAAGAGGAAGATCACATAGCCTCTCCACCTTCCCCAGGGCACTTCTCACTCAAGGTCACCTCCAGCTCACCATCCATCCCTCCCTTATCCTCTCCATTGATTCCTTCTGCTCAGTCTGCAAAAATACCTCATGCCAGACCACAGGGAACACCTCCTTCTTCTACTTTCTATTTGAGATGAGTCTTCCCTGCCTTCACTATCTAAGTCCCTTTCCTTCTCCTCTCCTTTCAACCTCTTGCAATCTGTCCATCTCAGGTTTTCTACTGATAGCCTCTCTCAAAGGAACCCCATGACCTGCTAATTACCACAGTCAATGGCAGTGAGGTGACCACCATCAGATAGAAGGATTACAAGTCACTATCCATATTGTGCTTTTCTGTATTGTCTACATTTTCTACATTGAGCATATAGAGTCAGAAAAACATTTAACAGTTTTTTTTTTTTTTAACCAGTCAAGTATCGGAGGCTGGTGTCAGGCAGACACTTTAGAATAACCCCTCACTGGTAGTCTGCTCAACACTCAATGTAGACACGACCCCATCACCATCAACTCACCCTTCAAACCCTGTCTCAGGAATAACACTTCATTACGTTCACCACTAAAAAAATGGACTTTCTCAACCCTGGGGACATAAGACTGGCTGCCTCGCTTCCTAAGCGCTTACCTTTTCTGTAGTTTCATAATCCATTTTGAATGCCCAGAGGTGGAGCCGTGCCGAGAGCTCACTGATGGAGGAGAGGGTCAGGAGGAACTGCTCTGCGCTGCCCAGGGGCACCTCAGGGTTGGCCAGCTGTGCTTCCTGAATCTTCTGCTTTTCCTCTTCAGTGGGAATCATGGTTAGAATTTTCTGGAAAGATGAAAAGATATTGTATACTCTTAGTGATGGACCCTGTGACATTTCCAAATTCATAGGGTAACTTTCCAGCCAGGTAGGAGAGAGATTCTGTTGTCAGGGCTCTCATCATAAACAGGCACTACATACAAATAAACTTTCTAGAAGACAAGCCCTACGCAGCATTTAAATTCACATGCAACGGTTTTAACATTCCGTCTCTCTCTCTTTGAATCTCCAGTTTCATAAGCAACTTTCCCAAATTTCCTGCATCTTGTACATGAAGAACATTCCAGGCAAGAAAGGGATGGGAGACGAGAGAAAGGTGAAACAATAAAAGATTAGAGAACAGCTCCCTGCTCCTTAAGAAATAAAGTGAAACATGCTAAGAACATATGCTTCGTCTCATGGATTAATTTCGGATCTTACAAAAATAAATCATTTCCAAAGAACTCAGATTAACTTTTGTACTACAGGTCATACTATAATTTTAATTGTTTTAAATATTTCAAATGTATGTCAAGTTTTATATAGAAATTACAACATTTTAACATCAAACTCAAGTCTAATTAAGGAAAAAACGATGATGGTCCTTACAAAGAGCAATACTTACCTACTAACGGAAAGAATATCACTTTCTGCTTCTATTTGTTTCTGCTAAAAGTCAATTTTGGAAAACAGAGGAAGCAAACAGGTGTCAGAAGGATTGTGAGTCTTATAAGTTCAAATTCCTTAGTGGTCACATTTTTAAAGAAGGTCAAAATTCCCATCATGTGACACTGCACATACAACATTATTAAAGGGAAGGTGTCACTATTTCTCTCTCATTTAACAAATGAGAATATCAAAGCAAAGAAATACACATTGCACCATACTTTTCAGTAATTTACATTAATTCATTAATTCTAAGCAGCTTTAGTTACTGCTCAACAATGACAAACCTCTGGATAAGGTGTGGGAAGGAGTTCCAGTTCTGGGAGAGATGGGTAAGCACTGTCCCACGGAATGCAACTACACACCCTGGACAGTAGGCAGGCAGCAGCTATTTGAAGACTTAAAAAAAAATCAACAGTAGCAGGTGGACAGAGGGAAAAAAGACCAGAACTAAAAGTTCAACTGAACTGGTAAGGAGTTGGCCATTCTCCTTCTGGTATTCCCCAACCTGGGATCAGGCAGCCCAAAGTCTGGAAGAGTGTATCAGGGGCAGACAGACAGCTCCAGGGCAGCCTTCGAGTTCTTTCTCCTGGTGTGGGAAAGGGTCTCCGAGTGGTGGCAGCAGGGTTGGCAGGTCCAAAAACTCACATGAAGGGAAACTTCCTCTCCAATCAGTGGAGCTGTGGCCCCAAGAGGTGGGGCCAACTCCTGTTGCTTTTCTTCTCTCCCCTCACTTGGCTTAACCCCAGACATGGGCACAGTGATAGCAAGTGCATGGCAAAGTGAGGTAGCTAAAGTCCCAGCTTTACTAAAAAGGAAGGCCCCAGAAAACCGGAAAGCAATGGGGAGGTCATGGAAAATGAAGAGCCTGCCAAGCAAGGGCACAAAGCTGTTTCAGAACTTCTGAGCTTCTCCCTGAACTGCTCATGTGTGAATCTGACCTTCAACTGCATGTCAGAGGCTTTGAGACATTAACTGGACTTTAAAAACTGAGCTGAGACTGGGACCATAGTCTGCAGAAGGTAGGTCAGAATCTGTGGCTTGAACTCAAATAGGTGATGGAACAATTCTCAAATTCTTTTTATGAGATTAGAATGAGCCCGATAAAAAAAAACTCAACAAAGATAATACAAGAAAACTCCAGACCAATATCCTGATGAACCAGATGTAAAAAATCCTTAACAAAATATTTTAGAGTATATAACTAAATTTCAATATTTTAAGATATATAAATCGATTGCTATATTTTATATAGCAATATATTTTAAAATAATCTCAAGGTTGGCTCAATATGAAAAAAAAAATCAATCAATGCAATTAATCTACCAGATTAACAGTGTGCACAAGAAAATTCACACAGTCATTTCAACTGATGCAAAGAAATTTTGATAAAACTCAATTTCCATTCATAACCAAAAACTCAACAACCTATAATAGAAGAAATTTTTCCCACTTGACAGGTGACATTAATCCCACAACTCATTTCATACTTAATGGTGACAGGGAGAATGCTTTCCTTCTAAGATGTGGAACAAAACAAGGTGTCCACTCTCACCATTCTTATTTAACATTGTGTAGAAATCATATCAAGGTACATAAAATTTTAAAAATACATACAGATTGGAAAGGAAAAGATCCCATCACAGATGGCATAATTGTCCACATAGAAAATTTTGAGGAATCGACAAAAACAACTTAGTGAGTAAACAATGTTGCATGATACAAGGTCAATATACAAAAAAAAAAAAATCCTTTTTATTTCTGTACATTACTAAGGAGCAATTACAAACTAAATTTTTTTAAAAAACACTGTTTACAATGAAATACTCAGGGATGAATCTAACAAAGTATGTGGGGGATCTGCCTGTGGAAAGTAGAAATGCTGATGGAAGCAATCAAAGATGAACCAAATAAACAGGGGATAAACTGTGTTCAGAGACTGAGAGACTCAACATAGTCAAGATCTTAGTCTTCCCAAAACTGATACATAAATATAACTCAATTCCAATCAAAACAGTATGATTTTTTTGTGTGGATATAGATATGCTGCTTTTAAAAATCATATGGCAAGGCAGAGGACCAAAATAGTCAATGCAAAATAATTCTGAAAAAGGATACCCTTGAAGGAGTCACAAAGACCTACCACAAAGCTGCAGCATTTGGGATCGGGTGGAGACGGAGGTGGGAGGGGGAATCGAGATGGGGAATACATGTAAATCCATGGCTGATTCATGTCAATGTATGACAAAAACCACTACAATATTGTAAAGTAATTAGCCTCCAACTAATAAAAATAAATGAAAAAAAAAAAAGACAGTGTAGCATAGGCTGCAGTGCAGGTTAGATACATAGATCAGTGGGACCAGACAGGGCATCCAGAAATAGCCTATGCAGATGCAGCCCAGTGATGCTGACAAAGGTGTGAAGGCTGTCAATAGACAAATGACAGTGCTTTCAACAAACGGCGTTGCACCAACTGGAATCCATAGGCAAAAAGTGAACCTCAACTGAAACCTACCTTCTAGATAAAGTGTTACCTGCTCAGTCGTGTCTGACTCTCTGCAACCCCATGGATGAGGCCACTAGGCTCCTCTGTCTATGGAACTCCCGAGGCAAGAATACTAGAGTAGGTGGCCATTTCCTCCTCCAGGAGGTCTGTTTGACCCAGAGATCAAACTCAGGTCTCCTGTATTGCAGGCAGATTCTTTACCATCTGAGCCACCAGGGAAGCCCTTCTAGATAAGTTAACCTCCAGAAAACTAGATAACTTCTAGTTAACTAGATAAATTAATTTCTAGATAACACTATCTTCTAAATAAGTTAACTCAAAAGGGATCACAGATATCAAAATAAAGGTAACACTACAAAACTTTTTGAAGGAAACACAGGAGAAAATCTTTGTGATCCAGGTTACACAGTGAACTCCAAGACACGATACCAAAAAAGAATAGGTTGATAAATTAACCTTCATTCAAATTAAACACTTTTTCTCTGTGAAAGACACTGTTAAGAGAATGAAAAGACAAGTTATAGTTCCTCAAAAGATTAAACACAGAGTTATCATATGACCCAGCAATTCCATTTGCATTTACCCTGGAAAAATCAAAACTTATGTCCACACTAAAACTTGTACTTGAGTATTTGTAGTAGCTTTATTCATAACTGCCAGCAACTGGATGAAGCTAAATATTCTTCAATGGGCAAATAGAAGAGTCAGTGGTACATCCCTACTCATGATACTCAGCAACAAAAAGGGATCAACTGTAGATACAAACTGCAACCTGGATGAATCTCAAAGGCATTAATCATGCTGAGTGGAAGAAGTCATTCTCTAAAGGTTACTCACTATATGACTCCATGTATGTAACATTCTTGAAAAGACAAAGCCATAGTGATGAGTACAGATGCTTGGTTACCAGGGGCTAGGTGGGTTAAGGGTGTGACTAGAAAGAGACAGCACAAGAGCTTTTTCAGCAGATGGGACTGTTCTGAAGCTTGACTACAGTGGTCATTGCAGGAATTTATATGTTTTAAACTGAGCTTCCCTGGTGGCTCAGATGGTAAAGAATCTGCCTGCAATGCAGAAGAACTGGATTCAATCCCTGGGTCAGGAAGATTCACCTGGAGAAGGGAATGGCTACCCACCCCAGCATTCTTGCCTGGAAAATCTCATGGACAGAGAAGCTGAGCAGACTACAGTTGCTGGAGGTACAAAGAGTTAGACACAACTGAGCAACTAAGCACTAAGACTCAATAGATATGGACTCCCCTAAAGTCAATTTTCAGTTCAGTTCAGTTCAGTCACTCAGTTGTGTCCGACTTTATGACTCCATGGACTGAAGCACGCCAGGCCTCCCTGTCCATCACCAACTCCTGGAGCTTGCTCAAATTCATGTCCATTGAGTCGGTGATGCCATCCAACCATCTCATCCTCTGTCATCCCCATCTCCTCCTGCCTTCAATCTTTCCCAGCATCAGGGTCTTTTCCAATGAGTCAGTTCTTCACATCAGTATTGATGTGAAGTTTGGCCAAAGTATTGGAGTTTCAGCTTCAGCATCAGTCCTTCCAATGAATATTCATGACTGATTTCCTTTAGGAAGGACTGGTTGGATCTCCTTGCTCTCTAAGGGACTCAAGAGCCTTCTCCAACACCACAGTTCAAAAGCATCAGTTCTTTGGCATTCAGCTTTCTTTAGAGTCAAACTCTCACATCCATACATGACTACTGGAAAAACCATAGCTTTGACTAGATGGACCGTTGTTGGTAAAGTAATGTCTCTGCTTTTTAATATGCTGCCTAGGTTGGTCACAACTTTTCCTCCAAGGAGCAAGTGTCTTTTAATTTCATGGCAGCCATCAC